ATTATTTGATTAATTCTCATTAAGAAGAATCCACCTTGAATTTCCCTTTGCCTCCTGGCGTCAGACAACAAAAACTAAATCTGAAGCAGAAATGGACTCTTCAACTTGATAAGGACCCAAACATAGCCGGAATATTTCTATCAGCATTTTTATCTGTCACTGTTCCCTGAATTGGTCCCAATAACATGTATAGGTTATCTTTATGAAGAAGGAATCATTGTAAAGATGTTTTATGAAGAGAGCACAAACTGACTCCTTTCTCCCCACTTGTTCTATTACCACACCACCTTCTGCTATCTAAGCTTTTCTTTATTTACTTTTTCCAATAGATACACATATTGATTACGATGCTGTTGCATACAGTTTGCAAAACTTTACCTCATCCCTGATACATTTATATATAGTTTTATTGATAAATGTCTATGTAGAGAACTGTTTGTTTTACTGTATATAGAAGTGGCTGCAGTGACACACCTTGTGCTTCTACTAGGTGTTGAATTTGCAGGTTAAAGTTACTGGTTTCTTGTTTGCAGAAGTCACAGTTACTTGCAGGCTGTTTGAAAGTCTATCATTTACTTGACTGACGACACATCTAAAGACATACAAGACAAAATAGGTCTGATATTTATGAGAAGGTAAGATGTGAAAATAAAAGTGTTGACAGATTCTGCAAAACAGTCTGCAAAAATGGATTAATCTAAATAAAAACTAATAAAAGTTGGAAATTTGGGCCCTCTGGTGTTTTTTACTTTTCCGTAAAATATGAAACTGTTTACACTGAAGAATTCATTGCTGTCTAAGGTAACTGCACTACCGTTACCATTTCTTTATGTTTTTGGTTTTAAAATTGTTTTTCTTTGCAAGCAGGTGAAGATAGGCCAGGGATAAAATTGTGCAAACATGTAAAGCATTGCAATGTTATTAAAATACATCCTTACATCTGAATATCTCACAGAGCATTGGTTAATCCATAACCTAACTATGGAAATAGTAAGAAACAACTGCAAACCTACAAGACATCCATATCCACCCAGCAAACCAAGCAAAAGGGAGATTAATCAGAGAAGCAGCCAAGATTTCACAGTTAAAGGTGGAGTACAGTAGCTGCAGAGAGTCACAGCTTAGGGGGAGAATTAGCAGGACAGGTATTGGTTATTTACGGCCAAAATCAGTTCAGCTATAAAGCAATTCCAATTATTTGTTGCACTATCCCGCAAGATATTCGATCCACGCTGCAACCCTGTGCATAAATGTGCTCTGTCCAGATAATGACAGATCATAGCGGTGGCAGGATTATGCTGTGGTGAGGCTTTTCTTCAAGATGATCAAAAATGTTAGTAAGACAGAGGACACTAAATAGAAGTCTGTTCACTAGGAAGACGTGTAAGAAGATGAAGAAAACTTGAGACTAAGGTGGAGCTTAAACCTCACTTTCTACCAGCAGGATAACGTCAACATACAGCCAAAGCTACACTACAATAACTGATGAAATCATACAGGCTTTTAAGAATAAGCAAAATATTCAGTCCTTAAATATGGAATGCAGCTAGAAAAACACTTGAAGAACCAAGAAAATGTGGTTATTCAAAGTATGTGCTTTTTTCAGATATAAATATAAAACATGAATGATTAGTTAAGATCTAAGAATTGTGTAGTACTCTGTCAACCATAAACATTACAGCTTATGGTAAAAATAGGAGAAGATTACAGAGAGCTATACATTCAACAGAAAAGTCAGTTCACATCTACCCGTGAAAATTCATGGTATTTCTATACACTAGGTCACCCTTCTTCGTTAAAAGAAATTTCTAGGAACCCAGTTTCTTTTGAAGAATACATAAATAAAGCAGGAGTATGAAGGACCAACTCTGCCATATTTAAAAATAAATACAGAAATAAATAAATGCTCATTAAATGTATAAGCATACAATTAATTGCCAACAAAAAAGTGAGACATAAATGTATATAACTCTTAATTAGCTTCTTTATTTATTTGCCTTTGTAATATTTACCTTATTTATTTTTCTGTCCTTTATAATCTTCAACTTTATTTTTTAATTACTTATATTTTTAAGTATTTATTTATGTGCATGTTATAATATTTTTGTCTGTTTTATTCTTCCTTTGTATTTTTTTACCGTAGTTATTTCTTCGCCGCTGTTTATTTCTCTCTGCCCTTTTTACATTTCTCTATGCATTTATGCCTCATTATGCAAATGAGGAGGGGGTGTGTCCTAGAGAGTCAACTTCTGCTCATTGGTTGGCTTGGCGGTCCATCTCCTTAACTCACAGAGCTCAGAGTACTAAGTTAAATGTTCTCTTTTCTGTTGCTGTTGTTCAATAAAAGTACGTTTTAAGATCATTTGAGGCGAGAATCTTATACTTTTAAGCATCACCATATGGCCCATTCACAGATTTAATGCGTAATTTAAAAGAAAATGTGACGAACTTGAGAGGACAGCGGCAACCAGCGGAGCTCCGAAGCTGACGGCAGCCAGGTCTATAGCCAGGCTATGATGGCGATTTTTTGTTGTATTTGGCAAAGTTTGGCAAAGTCCCTACTCAAGTTCTAATGACTTCAGACTCGACATCAGACTCTCCTCCTGTAGATTCGACCGATGTAGTAAAATGCTAACCAACACGCTTCACACACGGCTATGCCGAGAGAGGGCCGCTGCAGATGGGCTGTGGTTAGACCTGGCTGCCGTCAGCTTCGGAGCTTTGCTGGTTGCCACAGTCCTCTCAAGTTCGTCACATTTTCTTTTAAATTACGCATTAAATCTGTGAATGGGCCATATAGTGATGCTTAAAAGTATAAGGTTCTCGCCTCAAATGATCTTAAAACGTACTTTTATTGAACAACAGCAACAGAAAAGAGAACATTTAACTTAGTACTCTGAGCTATGTGAGTTAAGAAGATGGACCGCCAAGCCAACCAATGAGCAGAAGTTGACTCTCTAGGACACACCCCCTCCTCATTTGCATAATGAGACAGAAATGCATAGAGAAATGTAAAAAGGGCAGAGAGAAATGTAAAAAGGGCATAGAGAAATGTAAAAAGGGCAGAGAGAAATGTAAAAAGGGCAGAGAGAAATAAACAGCGGCGAAGAAATAACTAAGGTAAAAAAATACAAAGGAAGAATAAAACAGACAAAAATATTATAACATGCACATAAATAAATACTTAAAAATATAAGTAATTAAAAAATAAAGTTGAAGATTATAAAGGACAGAAAAATAAATAAGGTAAATATTACAAAGGAAAATAAATAAAGAAGCTTATTAAGAGTTATATACATTTATGTCTCACTTTTTTGTTGGCAATTAATTGTATGCTTATACATTTATTGAGCATTTATTTATTTCTGTATTTATTTTTAAATATGGCAGAGTTGGTCCTTCATACAACTCTGCCATATCTAAAAATAAATACAGAAATAAATAAATGCTCAATAAATAAATAAGCAATCAATTAATCTCCCCCCCCCCCAAAAAAAAAAATACAATAAACAAATAAAAGTAGATATAAATTAAATTATACAGTGAGACATAAATCTATATATATATATCTTTCTGGTTTAGTCTGATTCCATATTTAAAAAACTCTAATGTGTTTTGTTTTCCGTGACATGTGTTTTTTTTTCGTTTGCTAAACAACAATTTTCAGTTTTTGCTTTTCTTCAATTTATCTTTTTATAGGTGTACTTGTATGTTATTTATTTATTTTTCAACTGACACACCTGAATTTCATCTAGTATACTTGATTATTATGTGGTCAAAAGTGAAATTAAGAACCCATTATTAATTACGTATGTTACTGTATAGTTTCAAGACAATACCTTTGTTGCTGTTTTTTTTTTTTTTTTTTGATACACAATACAGTCCATTAGAAACACATAGGTACTTTATGTCAAAATGGAACACAACTTGTCTGATAGACCAGCATTGCAAAACAGTGAAATCTACGGAACAATATACATGTGTTCTGATGGATGAAAACAAAATGAAAATCTTCTCCTGACATCACAATGTTTCTTCTCTTCAGAGTGAAGAAGGGCAGCTTTTCAGAGACTATTGGAGGATTGGAGCTAAAAACTGGGCAGTAATGGAATAATTCATCTTCCAGGCTGCAGTAGACCTGGGTCTAGGATCGTGGTTCAGCTGGGATAATTGGCCAACAATTAAGGCCTAAATTAAAGAAAAACAAACACAGGGATTAATTTTGTTGCATATTCCTGTTTTAGAATAACCAATTCACATGTGTCAATAATTAAACAATGTTTGTTCACAGATGATCTGTATAGCTTGAGTTATTACAAGGAATAGGAAATTTTCTCTTCATGTATTTTTTATGTGCAAAGTTAGTAAGAATATTTTCGAAAATACTAACTTCGGTAATTGCAGCTAAATGCGGCTCTACAAAGTGTCTCTTTAATCACATTTCATATTTTTTTTTTTTTTTTACAAATAATAATACCAATAATCATATATCATTTTTTTCCACTTCCCAATGATGTACTACTTTGTGATGGTTAGTCACTTAAAATACCAATAAAAGTTTCCAGCTGTTAACAGCTAAAGTTGAAGTTGTATGAATGCTTTTGCAAAACATTTTTGACTATTTCTTAATAATTACATTTCATATAACATTTTACTTCTCAACAAAGATTATGATTTTTATCAAAAGTGTTGATACAACACTAGTAAAGCATGTTACATTGGTTTGAGCCACTTAATGCGAAAAGTATCTGAATTTTCAAAATTAATACAGAATTCATACAAACAAGTTACCTTCTTCTATAATTATCATGTGGGATGCCAAGATGTGTGGTTCACTGGTACACCTATTGGTTTTAGCTCTTAGTACTTGAGTTTAGATATATTTTCTATGTTTACTACATTCCATTTTCTGTTTAAATTTTGTTCACCAGTTCGATAGGAGTGCTGGAATATACCCATGCGTAGAGTTAAGGTAAATGCGGACAGGTTTTTCATCTTTATTTCTTTTTTTTTTTTAAAGAAGTGGACACAAGCAGACTGGATTAACAACAACACTAGGCTCCCCACAGATAAATAACAAAATATCAAAAAATTTGATGGGGTTCCAGTTTGTTAAATCTCCTTCTCTTCACTTGACAAATTCTCTTATAATCTGTGCTTCATGCACTCAAATCCAAGCTGTGAAATTTGCTATTGGCTCTGTCATCGTAATCTCCTGATCGTGTTCTCAGCTGCCTTGTTTTATTCATCCTTTTGAAAATATAATCTCAATTTTATTCATGGATATTAAAATCTGAACACAACTAAAATTTAAAATTGTAAAAAAAAAAAAAAAAAGATTAAATACTGAATTGAATGTTAAACTAGTAACTGTATTTTGCATGGAAGCTGAAAGTAACCCTTCTATTTTTCCAGAGCATAATAATCAAGCAAAATTGCTAAATGGCATTTAAAAAACAAATGTCAGGGATTATTACAGTTTAATGGATATATAACATTTATTTAACAGTAAGTGATATACCACACACAGCTTCAATCAGTTTAAAAAACAAAGTTAGGCCCATTTGATTTCCTCATTATTGTCCATTAATTGGATAAAAACTCTTTGGTGTTGCAGAGCTGGAGAATCCTCTGATGTGATGTTGTTGCCATGTTTAAGAGGTGCATTATAATCTGCGGGAACTTCAAAAAAAAGCACATCATCGAAACAGAGGTCATCCGGAGGCGATGCTAGGTAAGGTACCTTCAACACATAACCTGTCAGGATGCCACCCAGTGCTGATAGTCCTATTGTGGAAAACACAGCTGCAACCTGGAACAGAGCCTGCTCCTGTGCAGTCCTTCCCAAACCCTGTTGTAAACCTGGAACCAGCTTCTTTAGCTCTTGCAGCTTGGGGTCTCCCTCCACAGGAGCTCTGTGGGAGAAGATCTCATACAAGCTGGGACCGTAAACCTCCTCGTCAGCCATCAAAATGGCACATATCCCTGCGACACATGAAATGAGTCCTGTAAGTCCGTGCAGGTTGTGTATCCCGCACTGATCCTGGATCCTACAGCGCCTTGCTAAGAATGGGCTGAGGTACTTGTAGCCAAGCATGCAGGCAGTGCAGCCCAACATACCCAGCACATATGCAACCGCAGGTGATATCATCATATCTACAGAAGCCCCGACTGTCACCCCTCCAGCTAGCGTCACGTTCTGAATATCCGCCATGGTGAGCTTTCCGTTTTTATTCAGCATCGCAGACAAAGCAAATGCAGTGAGTGTGGAGGCGCTGAGGCCGATGAAGGTGTGAAGGATGGCCCTGTGCTGGTCGTCACCCTTAAGGGTGAGCGCTGAGTTGAATGATGGCCAGAACACCCAGAGGAACAAGGTGCCAATCACAGACAGGATGTCAGAGTGATAACTGGTGTTCTCCTTAATATGGCCCTCTTTTAAACCAGACCTGTAAAGCACAAAAGTGACACCCAGCCCAAAATAACAGGCAAATAGATGAATGAGAATAGATCCTCCTGCATCGTTGATCCTCAGATACTTCAGCACCATCCACTCTGTGACTGCAAACACTGGGACCTCCAGCAGAGCCATCACCAGCAGCTGCAGTGGGCTGGTCTTCCCCAGCACGGCTCCAAAAGAGATGAGGACCACTGCACAGGCAAACTCTGCATTTATCAGATTGATCACTCCAAGGTGGATCTTTCCATTGTGGTAGAACTGGAAGTAGCCCTGCACCAGAATGGCCCACTGGATGGCAAAGGTAGCAGTCAGAAAGTTAAAAACCATTCCACCATAGCCATAAAATCGGAAAAATGCCAGCAAGCATCCGAAGCCAAGGAATATCATGACTTGTATATCTGTGAAGATGGGGTAGTCCTTGTAGATGGCATTGTGCATCGGATTTGTCTGATTGGTCTGAAAACGGGCATCAGCGTGCTCATCATAAGTCACAAAGGCAAAGTAAAGGGCAACAAAAATCACCTGGGTTACAAACAGGAAGACGGGTAACTTGATTCGAAGGTTTGTCGACCGCTTCTTCATCTTGTCAGCTCTCTGGAACTATTTGCAGCAGCCTCTACTATTCCAGGTTTAAATATTTCTGTTTACATAAGACAGGTCAAAGACCTTGTTTAAAACCTACTCTCACTTAGAAAATAACAGCACTGCTTTTTCAGCCTGAAGAATGGACTTTGTCTGAGTAATAAACAGTTGAGAAAGTCAGCAGTTCTTTAAGCACTTTTTATCTCTAATTTCCAGTTCCAGGCTATATAAGGGGAAGTGAACATGAAACAATTCGGCATCTGAAGTGCAGACTCTTAATTTGCTCATCAAAAAATTATCATTTTGACAAACATTTATAGCAACAGCTGGACATATGCAGTTTTTGACCCCATTTACAGTATTTGTGATCATTTTCCTCTTTCTAGCTGAGATGTTCATGAGAGCTTATCACTGAGGGGTATTGCACAATTTACAAGCTCCTGTATGAAGGACCAACTCTGCCATATTTAAAAATAAATACAGAAATAAATAAATGCTCAATAAATGTATAAGCATACAATTAATTGCCAACAAAAAAGTGAGACATAAATGTATATAACTCTTAATTAGCTTCTTTATTTATTTGCCTTTGTAATATTTACCGTATTTATTTTTCTGTCCTTTATAATCTTCAACTTTATTTTTTTATTACTTATATTTTTAAGTATTTATTTATGTGCATGTTATAATATTTTTGTCTGTTTTATTCTTTCTTTGTATTTTTTTTACCTTAGTTATTTCTTCGCCGCTGTTTATTTCTCTCTGCCCTTTTTACATTTCTCTCTGCCCTTTTTACATTTCTCTATGCCCTTTTTACATTTCTCTATGCCCTTTTTACATTTCTCTATGCATTTCTGTCTCATTATGCAAATGAGGAGGGGGTGTGTCCTAGAGAGTCAACTTCTGCTCATTGGTTGGCTTGGCGGTCCATCTCCTTAACTCACAGAGCTCAGAGTACTAAGTTAAATGTTCTCTTTTCTGTTGCTGTTGTTCAATAAAAGTACGTTTTAAGATCATTTGAGGCGAGAACCTTATACTTTTAAGCATCACTATATGGCCCATTCACAGATTTAATGCGTAATTTAAAAGAAAATGTGACGAACTTGAGAGGACCGTGGCAACCAGCAAAGCTCCGAAGCTGACGGCAGCCAGGTTGAGTAGGGACTTTGCCAAACTTTGCCAAATACAACAGAAAATCGCCATCATAGCCTGGCTATAGACCTGGCTGCCGTCAGCTTCGGAGCTCCGCTGGTTGCCGCTGTCCTCTCAAGTTCGTCACATTTTCTTTTAAATTACGCATTAAATCTGTGAATGGGCCATATGGTGATGCTTAAAAGTATAAGGTTCTCGCCTCAAATGATCTTAAAACGTACTTTTATTGAACAACAGCAACAGAAAAGAGAACATTTAACTTAGTACTCTGAGCTCTGTGAGTTAAGGAGATGGACCGCCAAGCCAACCAATGAGCAGAAGTTGACTCTCTAGGACACACCCCCTCCTCATTTGCATAATGAGGCATAAATGCATAGAGAAATGTAAAAAGGGCAGAGAGAAATAAACAGCGGCGAAGAAATAACTAAGGTAAAAAAATACAAAGGAAGAATAAAAAAGACAAAAATATTATAACATGCACATAAATAAATACTTAAAAATATAAGTAATTAAAAAATAAAGTTGAAGATTATAAAGGACAGAAAAATAAATAAGGTAAATATTACAAAGGCAAATAAATAAAGAAGCTAATTAAGAGTTATATACATTTATGTTTCACTTTTTTGTTGGCAATTAATTGTATGCTTATACATTTAATGAGCATTTATTTATTTATGTATTTATTTTTAAATATGGCAGAGTTGGTCCTTCATAGTCCGTAATATTTTACTGGGGAAAAAAATCTCCAAAGTGAATGAAGTATTACTTTAGACCAGTAGGTGACAGTAGTCGTTTTTTTTTCCTTCCACAGCATTCGACGAAGAAGAAGACGACGAAGAAGAAGGAGACGGAAAAAGACCGAAGAACCACGGCCTGCCTCTCGACTCGCTTTTAATAGCTCGGCTGGAAAAAGCGCAGGTTACATAACTTCCAAAAGTCTAAGTTAACTGTAGTCTTTTGTATCGAGGAAGGAAAGAATCGTCGACGCGAATCCCACCTGCAGCATAGTAACCGTGATATTCTGACTTTGGCACAGCATATCCTCCATTTCAGACGGTAACGTCATTGTTTGCCACATTCAGCTGTGTGCCGCGGAAACGCTCTGAGTCAGAGTGGCCATTTTGGCACCCAGAGCTAAACGTCTGCCTCATCCACCCAGACAACATTTTTGCGGCCTTTTATCCGTGATTTATTTACCGGGTATTTTAATAACTTTTTTAACATGTTTTTGTTTGTTTTAATCGTGTTGGCCATTTTATAGAAGTTGTAGCGTAAAAAGTTCGGTTAAAATCGAAGCGGACGTTAAGTAATATTAGCATTAGCTATCTAGCGACGTAGACCTGAACGTGGCTTTGATCATGTCTTAAAATATACCCGCATACTTTTATTTGCTTTTTACATCATTAAGTTCAAAATTTGGTTTATGTGTGTAAATAATTGTAATAAAATGTTAAATATTAAATCAAGTGCGCGATGGGACACGATAGGACCGCCCAACGTGCTGTATCGTATTACTCTGAAATTCATGTTTTCTCTGTCTGTTTTCTTTATTTTTCTGTTACAGGAATGACTGTGTTTTGTTTTTCTTTTTCCTGATGTGCAGGATCGAAATGGCGGATGATTTTGACGTCGAGGCCATGCTGGAAGCTCCATACCGAAAGGTGAGTTGAGAGTTGGACGAACGGGGCCTGTAAACTGTTATTGTCTTTGCATTGCTTAGATCTTAAATTGTGTTATGAAGAAGTTCACATGAATGTTGTGTCTGGTGACTTGAGTTATTTAAACAAAAAACGCAATACAGAAATATAAATAAATCCACATCTATCTCTCTTTATAGACTTCCCTAATGATATCTCACCTCTACTCCCATGAATTCATCTTTGATTCCACTGTGAACTGTGAAAAAAAAGGAAGGTAGTTATTGCGCATATACTGATGTACTGTGGTTCACCTTAGGACTAAAAGAGATTCAACCTAGAACCATCCAGTCCCAATTCGGTTGCAACAAGGTGAATGCCAGTGGTTGATGAGCCCATCTTTACCTGTCCAGCAAAGGAGGCAGTATTCAGATTTACAGTTGGCTTGATGGTTTTACATGTTTAATCCTTACAGTAATGATGCCAGCTGCAAAAAAAAATGGACTTATTTAAATGTATAACTATCTTTTTTTTTTTATACATGAACTCTCTGGCGAATATGTATATATTTTGTTCTCTTATATGCACGTCCTCGAATATTTGATATTTTTCTGCACTAGGAAGTATGCACTGTACTTTTTATTGCCAGTTTTTTCTGGTCAGTTTTGAATATTTTCCCATAAATATGAATACTGCCTCTTTCAACATCTTAATTTAATTGCATGCTACACAAAACATTACATTTTGACATTTTAGTGAAATGACTGTAAGATACAACATATCTAGCATAAATGATGTTTGAGAAAATCTTGTCTTTTCTGTATTTTTTATTAAGACAAACACATGTAAATATTAATGCAATCTACAGATGATTAGTGTTAAAGGTGGCTTTTTTTTATCTTTTTTTTTTTTTTTGGGCGTCAGTATTACTAAGAAGTGTGAATCCCTGTTTGCTTCAGGGCAAGATGTGTGACAGAGGTGGCATCGAGCTCTTACAGTCCAAGAACGAAAATGGGTGAAGATCACTGGACTGACACCAACCTCACAGGATCTCTTTTAGTGGCCATGGGCCATGCGTGGTCACGTGTTTAGGCACAAATAGTGGCATTGGTACGACCTGTTAGAGGGGGGAGGGGGGGGGGGGGTGGAGAGGACCTGACAGTTATCAAAGCTTCCTGAACTCTGCTAATGTGTTGGACATCCCTTAACTTTTCATTGTAGCATTAAGTATTGAACAGGCTTATAGTGAGGAGGGGAGGGAAGGTATTGGGGTGGTGGAAGAAGTGTCCAGAGTTGACTTTAGAAAGTATGAATTATTATTAATTGAACATATTTTTGCATTTTCTCTTGTCTCACCCCCAACCCCCTTTACCTTGACGACTTGAAATGTTTCATCTACGTCCTCATGATGTTCTTCTATAAACCTTGCTTAGGATGAGAACAAGTCCTATCATGCAAATGGACACGATGAACATGGCAAGAAGTAAGTTGTTATGTTGTTGTTTTTACATACAGTCATCTTAAACTGTTAATTGTGATATGTTATTACCAGAACAACTCTGAGAATGTCTCTTCCAAATGAATTATTTAACTAGTTTTGCCCCCAAATCATTCTTAACTGTAGCGATTTACCAAATTTCCTTCCCTGCTTTTTATTTGTCACAGGAAGAGAAGGAGTCGAAGCAGGAGCCGTAGTCCAGGCTCAAGGAAGAAGAAAAGTCGTAGCAGGAGCAAAGACAGGAAGAAGAGCAAGAAAAGGAGCAGGAGCAGAGATAAAAAACGCAGCCGCAGCAAGGAGCGCCATCGTAGCAGCTCCAGAAGCAGAGATCGCGCTGGGCGGTATAAAGCACGCAAAAGCCCCATGTAAGCAACTTTCAATATTGCCTATTTACGAGGTCAAAAATTTACACATTTGGTACAGGCATTAAGTGGTGTCTCTTCTCTTGGTACTTTGGTAATTGTGCATGCATTTAAAAACAGGGGTTAGAAAGGTGTGGTTTCATGGGTGACCTCTTTAAATATGTTATTTTTTATATATATATATAGCCGGAAGCGCTCCAAAAGTCGAAGTCCCTTCAAGAAAGAAAAGAGTCCTGTTAGGTAAGATTAAAATGACATTTCAGTTTTTTGTGCTTGGTGTAGAATTCATTAGCATTTCATAGATTTCATGTTTAATCCTTTAAAACTAATACTTAAAAACATATTGTGGCTTTGATACCAATTTACATTTATGACACAAGTACAGCCACTCAAATGTACAATTGTATGTAACAAACTTGTTATATGTCAAGTTCAATAAAAAAAAATGTTTTCTATTAAGGCAACCGATTGACAATCTAACACCAGAGGAGAGGGATGCCCGTACAGTTTTCTGCATGCAGCTTGCAGCAAGAATCAGGGCTCGTGATCTGGAGGATTTCTTCTCTGCGGTTGGAAAGGTCGGCTTTGCTGAGTAAATTCTGACTGTCCCGTTTCCAGTGGGAAATTATCTGAAGTTTTTGTCACTTATCTGTAGGTCAGAGATGTACGAATAATTTCTGATAGAAACTCTCGGAGGTCGAAGGGCATTGCATACATAGAGTTCGTGGAGTCATCCTCTGTACCACTGGCAATTGGACTAACTGGCCAGAGGCTTTTGGGTGTGCCCATCATCGTCCAGGCTTCGCAGGTCAGTGCAGCTAACCTTGCCAAAAACTAATCAGTTTCTCTGATTGAAATGACTGTAAAACTTTGCTAAGAAGAGTTAAACCATAACTTTTTACTACTGTGACTTCGTGTTTTCATTTTTATGAAAACGTATGTGTTCATGTTTTCTCAGATTAATTAAGCCATATACATTTTTTCCCCAGGCGGAGAAAAATAGGGCGGCTGCTGCAGCCAATAACCTACAGAAGGGCAGCGCGGGTCCAATGAGGCTGTATGTGGGTTCGCTTCATTTTAACATAACTGAAGAAATGCTCCGAGGGATCTTTGAGCCCTTTGGAAAGGTTGGAAATACGGTTCACGTTTACTGAAGCTTTGATTTATTAAACTTTTTATATTATTAAATTGTACCAATTGTTATTTGTTTTCATAGATTGAAGGAATCCAGCTCATGATGGACAGTGAGACTGGGAGATCTAAAGGATATGGCTTCATATCGGTAACTAAAACTTTTCCATTTGCTAAAACCGATGCTCTCTGCCAGGAATCAGAATTTTACTTTTTTGGTTCTCTAAAGTTTGCAGATGCAGAATGCGCAAAGAAGGCCTTGGAGCAGCTCAATGGATTTGAACTGGCAGGTCGTCCAATGAAGGTGGGACACGTCACAGAGCGCTCAGATTCCTCTACAGCCAGCTCTTTCCTGGACAATGATGAACTGGAAAGGACTGGTATCGACCTGGGCACAACAGGACGTTTGCAGCTCATGGCTAGACTTGCAGAAGGTCAGTTTTAAATGCAACTTTAACAACTCTAGCTGCATTTTTTTTGGCATAATTTCCATTTTGACATTGAAATTTTTCCTCTTCCTCAACAGGAACAGGCCTGAAAATTCCTCCTGCTGCTCAGCAGGCTCTGCAGATGACTGGATCCATACCTTTTGGGGGCATACCTACCCCAGCAGGTGAGAGGCTAGATAATAGAAGGGTCCCTGTCATACTCTCCTGCAAAACATCAGTAACATATCTGTACTCCTTCTACAGTTTCTATTCCTGCACCGAGCCAAGCCCTGAACCTCCCCTCACAGCCGCTAGCCACACACTGCCTTCAGCTCTCCAACCTGTTTAACCCACAAGCGTAAGATTTAAATCATTTCACATATCTTATCAACTTTCCTCCTATAAGGATCGGTCCAGTCTGTCTTAATTGTATGTAAGGGACACTTGGTAAGATTTTCACTAGTAAAGAATAACAAGGTAACAGGAATAAGTTGTTTGGTGCTAAAGGAACTTTAGATAATTATGTTGGATTAAAACATCTACTTGGGATGATATGAATTGTTTAAAATGCTCTACTTTTTTTTTATGCTAAATATTTCTTGTGCATTTATTTTTTTTTTTCTTAGAGAGAATGATCCTAACTGGGCCTCAGAAATCCAAGATGATGTTATTGATGAGTGCAACAAGCACGGGGGAGTTGTTCACATTTATGTTGACAGGAACTCACCTCAGGTCAGTTTCATCCTCTTGCATTCTTTACATCTGCTTGCCTGAAATACTGTCGTTCTATATCAAAGATCAGACTCAAGTTATTTTTTACGTTTTAAGCATTTTTTCTTCTTCTTCTTACAGGGTAATGTGTATGTGAAGTGTCCCTCAATACCGGCAGCAATGGCGACAGTCAATGCACTTCATGGACGCTGGTTTGCAGGTATGTCAAGCATCTGTTACGTCAATGAAAAGAAAGTTGACGCTATAAATGATAACTTTTTTGTTTATTTCCTTTCCAGGCAAAATGATAACGGCTGCTTATGTTCCTCTACCGACCTACCACAACCTTTTCCCAGACTCTGTAACGGCGAAGCAGCTTCTAATGCCTTCACGTCGATAGTCTGAGACGTGCTTCTGAGAGTTGCTGTAAATACGTTTGTTTGCATTTCATGAAAATCTCATTGAAGCAAAGATGCAATGGAATTTAGTTGGCTGTGTATCAAGTTACCTCACATTAATTTTTTTTTTTTTTAACCCTCCCCTTCAGTTGCTTTTTCAGATTTAGTTGTAAATTACCACTGAAAAGTAATCTGCAGATATCAATTGGTCTGTAAATTTTTTAAATTGTCTTATCTGCTTGTTAAAATCAGCTGTTTTTGATTCAATATCTTGGAAGTTACAGAAACTATTACGCCTAAAATATTGAAAAGTATATTGATGTCAAAGTAATCCTTTGTAACTTTATACAGCCATGATTTCTTTTGTATGAAGGCTTCCAATAAATCTGGCAAACCTCGCCATTCTTCTTTTGTCCCCATTTGAGTTTGTCATGCCAGATTCAATTTGTGATTAAAGTCTTTATAACGGTCTGAGAGCTCATGTTTGTCATTTTAGTACTTAGATTCAGCAATTTGCTGCGGTTGTTGACAGATTACCGAGTCTGACTAGGTCTGTGGGAAACCGATCAAATAAAGTGTTGTGAAAAACTAAGATTCACATATTTCTCACAGTCTACAGTTTAAACCGGGCATACACTGAAATATTTAATTGTTGCACACAGGCAATTTAGGCAACACATTTTATATAAGCTAAAATGAATTATACAACTTTTTCCATGGAATCGTATATTACCAAACAACCACTCCTACTGCAGAAACAAGCAAACCAAAAAACTGAAAACTGTCAATGAGCTGCTTTAGTTTCATTCTATCCAAATATTACTAAGCAGGCAGAAAAGGTCAGAAAGCAAATTGAACAACCTACCATGAAGTAAATTATGGGCAACTATTGTCATGCCTGTTTTAAGATAATCACACAATCTTAACCAAGCTAAACAGAAAGGCACTGGACTAATTTGTTAACAGTGTCCAAAGTAACAATCACCCACACCTCATGTGAGGAACCGTGTCCTCCTGAGATCTAGCATGTCACCTCCATAATTACCTTTATTTGGTATTCTCTGTAAAGCACTTTATGTAGCGCCTAACAGATAATCCCAAAGTTTACTTTGAATTCATGGAAAACAAATAATCGACTTGGGAGTAACTGTAGTAATCGTGAAGCAGCATAACTGCTGTGTTTGGAAAGCGAGGATGTGTGATGATGGGAGCGTGGAGGGCATTTTGCAAAACATTTGTAACATGATAGAAAAAGACATGCAGGCAATAAGCACGGTGGAAAGGAAGTTTTTTTTTTTTTTTGTTAATGGACTTCTTAGAGCCAAGTTGCTCCGACAGCAACCAGAACCATCAGTTTAATCGCCTGCTAACAGCAAAAAGCCTCCCAGCACTGAATGCTGGGTTACACTGAAAACGCAATTTTATCACAATTACCATCCGCCTCACTGGAACAAAGTGACAGTCTGGCAGCATGTCAGCCTGACATCCTGTCTCTTCATCGTTTTGTATCTAAACATTGAAAATCAAATGGGTTTCACATACCTTGTTCATCCTTTATTACCCTTGTAGGGTCCTGCTTTATTAAAGGTAGAGTGGAGGATCTTTTTCCAGCTTTCTTTTGGAAAGTAAGCTTGTATGAGCGATGCAGACAGCTTCTTTTAAATATAGCGTGCACAAGGAGAAATGAGCTTGTGCATGCTCTTGCATATTTAATAAGCATTCCCTCTCGGGATCAGGTACAGGGTTGCGCATGTCCATTTTTTTTTCCTTTTAAATGGAGAGGGCATCTTTTCAAAAATTCCCGAAAATCCTCCTGTATACCTTTAACTTATGTCCAATTTAAAAGGGAAACCATGTAACTTTTGGCCATTAGGGACGCTAAACCCATGCCCATGTTTCTTCTAACACACATTGATAATAAAGATATGACGGTATTCCTAGTGCCAAGTTATATCTTACCACCCTAATAAAGTTAAGAGAATCTGTGTTACAACCGGCTTCTTTAAGCCTTCGCCAACGAATAAACTCCTTTCCAAGATCGACCCTAGTTCTTCCTCGCACACAATCACTTTCGCGTTTTCTCTTTTAAGCCTTTTGCAGGTTTAACATTTTTCCTTGCCTCAGCCGTGACCAGTAGCCCAGAAGGTGAAAAAAATAGTAGTGCAAAAACCTTAGCTCCATGACGATATAAGAGCCTGGAGCCATAAAATGATGTTAATCCAGGTCGAATGACCTGACCAATGATGACATGTCTTCTAACAACTTACATAGTCGGTATTTCAAGAGGGGAAGCCCTGCTTGTAGCATTGATGGTGTCAAGCGCTATATATAGGCCTGAGGAAACATTTAAAAATAAATCATAGGGTCACTTAGGTCACTAAGTCCACAGTGTGCCTTTGATAATGTGGAAGACATGTTTTGTTTATTCAGTGTGTGCTTTGACACAATTCTTCATATATAATGATATAACACTTTTTAAAATTCAGAATAAAAAATGCGTAGCCCATCAAATTACGCAAAGGTCCTCTTGATACAAAAGAAAACTAATTTAAGAAAATAGTCACCTATTAAGTTTAGATCAATTCATTAATCAATAAGTATCCATATTTCTGATCAAAAACAATTAGAATATATTGATGTGTGATGAAGCTTGAATACTGAAAGATGAAGCACTAAATATCTAGTCCATCCCCAGATTTCTCCCATGTTAACCATTACCGAATTCAGTGATGCAATAGCACGGCCTAATTCTGTTTAGTTTTGAATAAATGACACAACACAGATGTAATGCATATTCTGTAAATTTATATTCTAACAAAAGGCACTGCAACAACAAAATAGCTTTAACTTCAGAACATTTTCACTCTTATTCTAATCATATTTTTGCTTTTTCCTTTTTTTTTTTTTTTTCTCCAAAAATCACTGATAACTTTTCCATTCCTCCAAAACAACGTTCACACCTGGAAAAACAAATGCACAGTTAGACCTCCCAGGTAATCTTTCTGGTAAAAAAAAAAAAAACAGGGCTTAAACAAACAGGCTCTTTACTGGTAAATAATCCTTTAAATGGGTTTATCCAATCAACTAAAATAAACTTGGATGTATTATGACCACATATTTATCTTGATCTTAAGATTATTCATATTTAAAGCTGAAACATCTGATTGAGCAGTATCAGTAGCTAATTCAGCCTAAACTTAAACTGTATTTACATTTTTAAGCACTTCCAATCAAATTAAATATAGGTTTTCTAAATATTTTTAATGACCCAATATTTACATCCCCTAGAAAAATCGCTTTCACGCCCCCTCAAACAACAAATCAAGCAAGTCCCCCTTAAATCTAATGCTGACCTTAAATTATTTCACTTTTTTGGAGGACAATCTTTTGCCTGGTGAGCTTGCAGAACAGCGATCGCCTCTTCCACCTGAAAGACAAAAAACAAGGAAGAACATCTTGGGGATAAATAAAAAGTCAGTACAGAAGTTGTGATTTTCTTTATTAACATTCATTTTATCAAGTTTCAATACAAAAAAAACAAAAAAAAAAAACAAAATTTTTTGTTCCACTATGTCACACATGAACTTACTCCTTTTAGAACCAGGCTATTGCTAGTTTTATAATAACATTTATTTATAGTAATTTGATAGTTATATACATTACTTAACCAGCGATATGAAAACAAATGCTGAGGGTAATATTTGTTCCATAACCTCACGCCTCAGTGTCTAAATGTCATCTTAATGAATATGTGGAAAGTCTGTGAATTCAACATGCCTTAGAGTTCAGGGACTCCGGTGACTCCAGCATGTGCAGCAGCTCTGAGTTGTCAATCTCTAGCAGCATCCCTGTGATCTTTCCTGCCAGGTTTGGGTGAAGCGCGTGAATCAGAGGATACAGACGCTCCCCTGTGTGCCACAAGAGAGGAGAAGGTATGAAAACAAAAGCAAACAGATGGCTAAACGAAAGCCAAAATGAGAAATGGCCGACCAAGGAGTTGTTTCTGATCCATGAGGGGAGCTGCAGCCAGCATTGAAGCAGTGAGTGGCTCTGAGCCTGGAATATGAACTAGCTGATCTACTGCAGGCGCAGGAACGACCTGGGAACAAAACAAAAACAAACTCACAGCTTCATTCCTTTTTCTAAACTGCCGCCCCATGGAGTCCTTATAATATTCACAACTTAAAGTAGATAAAAAAGTCTGCATGCCCTATGAAGTTGTTAAAAGAGTTATAATCATTTCCCTCACATAATAATTTCCAAAGTTAACCCAACCATGATCTGTTCAATTAGCCACTCATTGATCTTGTTCACATACTGTTAATAATTTGCTAATCTGATATTTCAATTTTATTGCAATTTATTCATTTTAATGTCTTATTCTCCCCATTTTATGGCTATGTTCACGATGCAGGCCTTTTTTTTGTGTTGTGATGTGATCTCTGTGTCCTACAACGCAAGTGTCGCGCATGTGCAGTGGAAGACGCAATGACGTCACAGGTCAGCATGCTCTGTGTTTACGGAAGTAAACATGGATGGTCGTGCCCGAGCGCATCTAGCGACCTTTCCCCAACCATAAAAACACAATCTTTTCAAGATGGTTGAACATAAATACTGCTCTCTGCATCATCGTCCGCCATGGTTTTTGTTTTTCTTGCCGACCCAGAATAGTGACGTTCAGGTGGGATGAATCCGACCTGGCCGTTCAGACACAGGACACATTTGAAAAGATCAGATTCGTATCGGCCTGGGTCGCATTGGTTAAAAAAATAAAAAAAATAGGATCTGTGGGTCACTTCAGGCTGCAATGTGAACGTAGCCTATGATACTTTTCTTTCTACTTAGTAGAAATAATCCCATGTAATTTAAAAGACTGACAGGTGCACACACCTCTGAAAAATGATGCAGTTGTACTTTCCCCTAAAATATTTCATTTAGTTTCTCAGCTGGCTTGTACAGGTTGCAGAAAAGAGGCCTGACAGAGGTACCTGGGGTCTTGTCATGTTCGCAGGAACATTAGCAACATGAAGAGGGTTCCTCACTCCAGATGAATACTTGTACTGACTTCCTCTGGGAACTCCTCCAGTCTGAGTCCCTATGTTGTCTAAAGGAGCACAAATGTGTCAAACAGGAACATATTTTTAAGTTGCACCCATTAGAAAAAGACTGATATAATATAATCTAGGTACTTGTCTTTTGTGTGGAGTTTACGACTCGTGGAGCCTGGGTTGAAGCCTGCCGGACTGTAGTAATTGTTGGTGAACTGCGACGCGGCGGTGGAGGGGGATTCCCTACATACTGAGGCGGGTAATGTCCTGGAAGGATAAAGGTATTAATTTACCTACTAGCTTTATAAAATAAAGAGAAGTGTTTCCATCAAACCAAGGAATGATAAATTCACCCTGGGGTCTGGGCGGCTGTCCTGTCCAACGAGGGACTGGTCTCAGATTGCTGACAGCATTGTGGTTGTAGAAAGAACGAGTGGGAGGCTGCAAGATAAAGGTCCATATTAAATGCACAGAAAGCAAATTAACCGCTGGATTATTCCCTCTGGGAGTATAAACTGGGTTAAACAGGAAAAACAAAAAAAGTTTAGATCGATGGAATGCAAAGTTTGGCGACACTTGAACTGATTTAAAAAGAAAAAATATTCAAATTTACTGCTCCAATGCCAGATTTCTTAACCAAGCCTCTGGTAGCTCTAACACCAGGGAAAGGTCCTATGCAAAACAAGTTAAGTAGAACAACATTTTAAACCCGAATAGGAAATATCACGACTATTCAGTCATGTTTTCCTTAAAGTACTAATCCAGTGTTGCAGGTCAAATGCTCCTACCTGAGGTATGGTCATGTAGTATCCAGACTGGTGATAAGAATCAATGATGGGACTGCTCATGGTTCTCAGCGTAGCGAGCCTCTGCATGTACTTGTTAGTTAGAATGGCTTTACGCTCTTCCCTCCTCTGTGCCAAAGCAACATACAGCGGCTTGGTGGCAACTATTCTCCCATTCATTTCGGTCACTGCTTTCGTTGCTTCCTCTGGGGAAGAGAAGCAGACAAAGCCGAAGCCTTTGCTCTGGCCACCGTCAGTCATCACCTGCAGCAAAAACAAAAAGGAGCTAAAGTTCAGAGAATGGGAAATGAAAACACGCTGAACTGCCACTATGTACAAACTTTACCTTAGCACTGGTGATTGTGCCGTAAGGAGAAAATTCCTTCCGGAGCCTCTCATCATTGATGCTATCATCCAAGTTCTTCACATATAGATTCACCCCCTAAGTCGTCACAGTGCCAGATTAATTTCATTAATCACATTAAACGTATTTGGCATTCTTTGTTATGACCAACTCTGACCAGTAATCTGCTTACATAAGGGTAGCAATAAAACATTTGGTTAAAATGTGGTTTTATAATAAGGTGTGACTATGTCCACATGTCAGTAAAAGATGGCTGCACCTGATAGCGTTGGATGCGGTCCTGTTTGATCTGGTCAAACTTGCGCTTCAGCTCCCCTTGACGCTCCAAACGCTTCTGAGCCCTTCCTACATAGATGGTCTTCCCATTCATCTCCTTTCCATTCATTTCATCCACAGCCTGAGAAACAAGCATGGACAGCAGTAATCTTTAAAAGGCAATAAAGTTATTGTCTTAATAGAGTACTCATTTTCTGGAATAGATGTTTGCTATGAACCCAAAGCAGAAAGACATTTGCACATGTAGTTAATTTATCAGAAGACTACTGCTAGATTCCTCAATATTACCAGCATTTTCCTGGTATCAGTTTCCATTTTAATTGATTACAAAACAGAATTATGATTCAGACAGTTATTCTTTTCACAGATCACTAATGATAAAAAAATTTATAATTTGAAGATTTATTTTGGACTGGACTTTGTGAATGAACCAAAATGGAAAGGTGGTGCAAGGTGTGCTTGGTTATGAGTGTTTGTTGCAGAAGTGGAGTGCATCACTGATGAGAGTCAAGGTGGGGCTGCAGTTTGACTGCTTCACTTCACTACGCTTCGTTAAGCAACTGATTTCATGTTTTTTTGTTATATCCATCCATGTTTTTCTGTCATAGCTTGTGCTGGTGTTAAGTAATAAACCGCAAAAGCATTCTGGATGTCAGTGTATCTGTTACACTAAACTTAAAGCATGTCATAAATAGGCAGACAAACGAGAACCTGACCCAGCTCTCAGCGGCTAAAAGGTTCTGGATAAAAGCTTCTAGTGGAAACTTGCTCTAATCACGCATAGATTCTCAATCCAGGTAACTATAGATGGGGAGCAGAGAGTTGATTCCCCCTTTATCAGCTGTGTTTGACAAAAACTTTTATTTTGAACAAACCAGGAAAAAAAAGAACATATTTTGTTATAAACTTAATTTAGGGATCTTTGGTTTACAAGATGGCAAAACAATAAACTGGACTGGAGAAACAACACTGCTGCTAATAAAGGAAGGGTCAAAACAGATTCTACAGTCAGGCTTTAACATTATGAACTGGAAACACACATGGATCATAATAGAATTGGGACTACAGCCTTCTGAAAAAGACCTTAAAAAAACAAGTTACACACACACAGCAAACAGCTGAAGCTCTATTACACAACCAAAACATGTAGGTTTATATATTTTTCAGGCGTCACACACTGAACATGTGAAGATAAATTACTTCAGATAGGCTGTGTCCATACTTCTTGTCCTGCACAGTATTGTGTGAATCCATATGGCCTCTGAGCACCAAGCCTCCTGCTTCCTTTCCACATCTCCTTCCTCACTGCTTGCATTATTCGGACAGAAGAGCAGAGTGACTGTCCTTCTGAAAGTTTCTCCTCTTTCCATAGAAAAACGCTGAAGCTTTGATAGAGTAACCAAGGGTTTTTTGGTCACCTCCTGGACTAAGGCCCTTCTCCCCTGATAGCTCAATTTAGACAAGCAGTCAGCTCTAGGAAGAGTCCAGGCATTTGTAAACATTTCCATTAAGGAATGAATGAACACTCAAATAAGCATATTGTTTCCGTGTACGTTTCCAGACAATTCCTTCCGACTTTATGCTTTGTTCTCACTAACAACTGTGGGATCATGTCAAAGAGTGTGAGCACCCAAGTAAGTCTCTTATTTTTCTACTTTTCCAACAATCTTGAAAAAGCTTTTTGCAAACGATAGGGCATTGAGTGCATGATTGAGAATTGGGGACATAAACAATTAATGAATTTAGGATTAAGTATTGATTACTTATTAGATTAGAATTTGTTTCCTCCGCTACTTGATAATGTCCGTCTGGTGCGAATTTCTATCAGTGTTGTAACATTACTATTGTCCACTAGAGTCCGCTGAGTATTCTTAAGCAGTACCTCCCTGGTATTACAAAAGTTGTAATGCTATAGAGCACATGCATGCTGTAGCAGAAGCATCAATCAAGTGTCCAGTAATATACTGTTCCATGGCAACAGGCTGAATGAATTTTCTGCGGTTCAGTTTGTAAATATACTATTTATAACTCCTTATATATAAAAGTGTATCCGTTTCCTCAATATACGTCTTGAATCAAAGGTTTCATAAAGTCCATATTTGTGTGTGCATTTTTTCTATAATCTTTTGCTGCTGTAAACACCAGAATTTCCCCATTGTGGGACAATAAAGGGATTTTCTATTCTAAAATCAAACCGAATCTGACAGATGAGAATAATTTTAGCTGGAACTTTATTCTGTATTCATTTGATCATATTTGAAAGGCTTAAATCAATGCAAACAGTTGGCAACACCCTAACCATAATCCCCAACAATATGGTAAATGTTCTTAAAAGTCATTCCGCAGTTATTAAAATTATATACAATACTGAATTATAGTCCAGTCATTGCTCAGCATCGATCATGATAGTGCTGCCTCTTCATCAAGAGCCGTTTTCTGTGGAAGATTTCTACCCTAATCCATTGGATCCTTGTCACTACTTTTTCTTCTAAGATAATATTAAACTTCAATTCAAAGCCTATAATCAATTTGGACATGAAAAAAATGAACAAAGACTAATAATATGAACAGCAAATAGTTCAAAAGCACATTTAAAACCATAAATTAAAGTATCATAAAACCATCAACTGGCATTTGTTACCTTCTGAGCATCCTCATGGTGAGAATAGTTGACAAACCCAAATCCTCTGGAACGGCCCTTCTCATCCTTCATCACCCGCACACTAAGGGTCCTCCCTGAGGGCAAACAGGTCAGTAAGGAAAAACAAGAAAAACAGCTTTGACAGCGTCATTAACAGGAAAAAAATGTTCTCACCAAAGGTAGAAAAAACTTCCTTGAGTTTCTCATCAGTAAAGTCCTCTCCAAAGTTTTTGATGTACACATTAGTGAACTTCAGAGCTTTGGAGCCAAACTCTACCTCCCTTTCTTTGCGAGACTTGAAGTGGCCAACAAACCTGAAGATGGAACCAAAGAGCCCGGGCAAATTTAAGAGGCTAAAGAGCTAAAGATATCAGATTTAAATATACAACATTTTCCACAGAGATCCGGTTCAGATCAAATAGCCTCAGTTAAAAAAAAAAAAACCTGTATCAAAGTCTATTTACTACTTTTTTCCATTAATACTCTTCAGGGTTTCAATTTAAAAAAAAATCTTCAAATGAAGAACCAGTTCTGGGTTCCATGGGTTGCAGTTATCCTGGATTTATAAAAAAAATAAACAATGACGAATAAAAGGGTATTAATAAGCCTAGATCAGGTTCAAATTTAGACCACAAGCTCAGAGAAATATATTCTATTCCAATACAACAAACCAACACTAATAAATTATAGTTAAGTGAAGAGAGAAAATTCAGAAATGATGTTAAAGTTTGTTCATTAGAAATATTTTAAAAATATTTCCCCTTTTGTATTCAGCCACCTTTACACTCCAAGACCTCTAAATGAAATCTAGCCTAATGAACTGTCTTCAGTGGACAACGGTCAGGAGTTTTCCTGGACTGGAGATCTCCACTCATTATTAGTGGGATTCACAGGACAAGGTGGCTGTACACTGCCCAAGGGGTTGGATTTTAATTTGGAAAAAGTAATGAAAGCTATGCACCATTTTCCTTCCTCTTCACACTCGGAGTTCATCCCATAAGATAAAAAAAAATGCTAATAAAGTACACTGAAGTTTTTGGTGGTAATGTGACCTAATGTGAAATGCTGAATTGCTATTAAACCTTTATAACACATAAGATTAAGAGAAACATGAAGGGGCCTAGTCATGTACTATGCATATTTAAAAAGAATTTAAAAACCAAAAGCCATATAGTCATGTTAAAGTAAGCAATATACACTATTCGTTTGCCCTGATAGTATTTACTTAGCCTTTTTGGAGCCTGAGGAGAACTTTTGAACAGGTTGTTTGTGAAGATTCTCAGTCATCCAGGTCATAGTCATTCTAAAAAAGTAAAAAAACAATCCACTGGACTTTGTTTCCAATTTTGAAAAAGTTTCTCTTCTCATCCAGGAAGTTTTTTCAACAGGTTGTTGTACACAGTCCCTAGTGGTCTAAAAAGCCAAACATTATTTAATTGGAAGGCCTTTGAATGCAACCAGAGTAAGCTACTGGCATAGAAATTAGCAAAATCATAGTTCTTGACTAGGCCCCTTTCAAAATGAGTTTGCAGCTTGAAGGTTTGATATGGTTCTGCTCTGAGAGACAGTTCTATCAGCACGGTTCTAGGATTATAATACAAACAAACACACCTAGACAAAGGTCCTACCTATTTGCTGACCTAAGCTGGGATAACTGACATTTTTGCCACAGGAAATGGTCCTTTGGGTTGACAATGCCAGATTCCTTTTTACCTGCCTCTTGACTGAGTAAAAACAACAAAAACACAGAGAAATCATCTGCAGCAATTGTGCTTTGAATTAGCAGCACAAACAACTTCTGCTCTTAGCTTTGCCTAACCTCAGTAAAAGGAGGGCTCCAGTTAGATCACTAGAAAAATGGTCACTTTTCCTGCCTTGGTTGCACTGGTCCAGCTAACGTTTTGCATGCAGATTTAAACCAATGAAATCATGTGCACAGCATGTATGGAACATTTTATTTTTTTCACCAGCAAAATCATTTAAGCTTTAATAAAACATCAAAATTATGTTTGCAAAGTCACACCTGTAGCACCCTTTTTCTGCTGCAATTCCTATTGTTTACCTCTGACTGTATTGGAAGAGAGACCCAAAGTACAGACTAGTCTGGTCATGTGACAAAATCTAGTGTATAACAATGAAATACATTGACTTAATCTATAAAACCACATTTTTATAGCTGCTTCACTTGAATCATCTCTATTAACAATAAAACATGGATCATAACAGGAATTCAACCTTGACTCATCTATTCTTGCTCCTTATATATTAAGTACTGCAATGGCCACAAAGCTGATATACTAAATCCGAAATACTTTAATAATCCCAGAGGGAAATTACTTTTGTTACACGCTCCAGTTGCAGTTAGCAACATTGGCCTCAGTCTCAAAGCATGCATCAACTCAGCTTAAAAAGGCCAAAAAAGTTACATTTAAAAAAAGACTGGCTAACCCATATCTTGTGCCTCAAAAACAAAGACAAAATGTTTGAATACGTTTACTTTGAGAGGTATGGTCTAGAAACAGGACTTTTGTTGTTGGAGCTGCTAGGTTCCTAACTAAGGACAGGTGAAACACTCATCCCCCATGGAACAAGCATATGTCCTCTGATTTAAAGTTAGTGCTACATCGTTTCAACAAAAAAAAAAAAAAAAAAAAAAAAAAAAAAAAAACAGCAATTAAAAGATAAAGAGCCAAAAAACATTCCAAAGGGGGCAATATAGCAGTGACTTTACCCTTATTTCGAGATTGAGCAATACTTTCCTTTCCTTGTGTTGACCATTTGTGGTCTGCATTTTCACAAGTAAGCAAAAAGTGTTTTGTAGAGGACATACAAGTTAAAGAAAATGTGGTGGAAAATCAGCTTTACGTCTTCAACAGTAAAAACAACAGTCAGTCCTTTCATTACTCTAACATGGAGAGGAAGACCTGAGGAGTTTGACGTGGGCTCTGGTTACGTAAATCAACATTAAATGCTTTCTCATCATCACTTCTGTATTGAACTGGTGTTTTTCATGCTTTAGAAAAAAAAAAAGAATTTGTGCACCAGATTCTTTCCAAGCGTTCATTTTCTGTTGTAGATTAAAAAATGCATTCACGAATGATTGCCAAGGACATTACACATCAGTGAATCAATACCTTCATAAAAGCCTGCAGTACGTATCCAGATATTTTCTAAATGAAAAGTCACTCCTAGTCTTTTCTCAGAAGCAAGTGTTTCTTACTCTGACCACTGCGGGCACCCAAGCATCAGTATGTTATAGACTTTTCTCATAAGTTTCAGTTTGCAAGTGACAAACAAACACTGAAGGACTTCAAACTTAAACCAGAATCGACTTGATTTGTCTAATGTTACCAGCTCATAGAAAATAATCCACAGATGGAAGGAATGATTAAGGTTACCTTCGAGTCCACAAGCACTAGCTGAAGTCATAAGTTGTCTGATGAACAGGTATACCGATAAGACAGACATGTCATAGCTTCTGATGTCACAATAAGCGATCATCACAGAAAAAACACATTCAGATAACGCAGATAAAACACAGCTCCATAAAGGGTTTTACAGCATATATAAATTATTACACCAGAAGAAGCAAAGGTAATCATTTCCACAGCAGGACCCAGGGTGGACAGTTGCTTTAAACGGCTTTATGGTGCACGCGCTTGTTTTCATACAATAAACTGAAAAGGTTAGTGGAACCAGTGCAACCAGTGCCAGGTCTGGAGCCCTCAGACTTATTCGCCAAAAAGGATCAAAGTTTACTCACACTTTCCTGTCATTCAGAAGCATCCCATTCATTGTGTCAATGGCACGGTTTGCAGCCTCCTGAGTCTCAAAGTGAACAAAGCCATAGCCTTTGGATCCTTTCTCATCACAGACGACCTATAACAATCCCATAGATATGGAGTTATAAAATAAGACATCTATGTGGCCTTTTTCTAAAAATTAACGTACCTTGCAAGACAATATATTGCCAAAGGCTGAGAAGGTATCATAAAGCGCTTTGTTGTCGATGGACTCATCCATGTTCTTGATAAAGATGTTACCCACACCCGACTTCCTGAGACCTGGGTCACGCTGAGACCACATTATTCGAATGGGTCGACCCTTGATGACATCATAATTCATGGTATCTAAGGCACACTCGGCTGAAAATGAAAATAGAAAACACAAATACAGACTCCCTCTACAGCAGGCTTTTAGCTAGCAATGCTTACGGATGCACATTGTATGCCCTTTACTAAAAATATTAGAAATTTTACACCCTGTTTTTAGGATGTGCAGCTTTGGCACGTCCCAATTTCCCCCCCAAAACTTCACTCAAATGTTAAAACTTTCACAAGCAGCAGGTGCTGGAGTTTTCTGCTGCTCAACGCGCCATGTAAACCACTCAGAAAAGCTGATCTAGTAGCTGGGAGGGAAATGGAAAGCCCTGCTGATGCAGATCGCTATGATCAGTCCTCTGAAACAGTTTATAAATGCCTAAATTAACTTAAAATGTCAAAACCTGTCGGCAAAATGTTTGCTTTTAGTATTCTGGTGCCTGCAGTTTGAACCACATACCTGAAAAACGCTAACATCTACTTCCAGCCGCCATGAACTGTCGGGGGAAAAAACCCACAAGAGGCGACTGGGACCGAGGCAGCTGTTGCTGGATTCCCAGTGACAGCCGGAATGCGGGGGTCTGCACAGCTCCAACAGCAAATAAGATTTAGAGGAAGGATCGTAATCTCATCTATTAAAACTACTTTTTATCCAGCTACTCTCTGCCATTGAACACAGGGGCAGCAGAAGAATCATTTGCATCTGGACAAACTTTACTGGAAGCGCCTGTCCTTTGTGCGTACAAGCATCGAAATTGAAGCAGCAGGTGCTTTTTTGCTGCTCAAATCACGGTGTGAACATAGCATTACATTTTATGATTGTTTTAATAAGGCTATGAAACAATTAAAAAGATTAATCATGATTAATCAATTATTAAAACAATCAACTAATCAACTAATTTAATAATTGATTAAACATTAACTGGAGTATAGAGACTCTAAAGTATGGCTTTAGATGAAAGAGAAACCCAATTAGTCAAGCACACATACTTCCCATAGTCAGGACAAAAGTAGTGTTGGAACAAAGACAAAAAGTTAGCTGCATTCCACCTCAAACTGTAGGATATAGCATTTCAGAGAGTCTACATTTCAAACTTTTCCGGGGGACAAATATCCTTCCATCCATTGATTTTCCATTATGTTTATCCCTGCTGGGGTCACAAGGGGTGCTGGTGGGTACACCCTGGAAAGGTCGCCAGTCTATCGCAGGGCAACAGAGTCAAACAGGACCCAGACACACTCGCACCTAAGGAGACTTTAGAGAAGCCAATTAGCCTTACACTGATGTCTTTGGACTGTGGGAGGAAGCTGGAGTACCAAGAGAGAACCCACGCATGCTCAGGGAAAACATGCAAATTTGATATACAATATAAAAAACCTAAAAAAAAAAAAAGGTTCCATCTCTTTTTAAGCTGATGTTTTTTATATCCACATATTTGTCTTCATTCCGTTCTCCATAGTATTAATCTGGCCACTGAACCACAGCATAGATCTGTCCTTTCCACAGTCCCTACATGCTAGTAGCACCCCCTCCCCACAAAGCAACACTGATCACTCCATAAAACCAACTAACTTTCTTTAGTTTAGCCCATCTTTTTGAGCTTAAATAAAACACTTTCCAGTCATCTTAAGCCCCCACCAGATTCTGTACCAGACTCTAATCAGGAATATGAATAATTTCTACTACACAATATAAATAAAGGATCTGCACTAAATTTGAGTTTGTGGTTTGAAACTTCCCTTCGCATGTTTTAAATCTAACAATGAATGCTATAGTTTTGCTTCACATATGGGACCGTTTGTTTCTTTCACTACCCTTTTCTGGCAGGTAAAAGCTTTACCGTCTGCCGGCTGCTGGAAGTTGATGTAGGCATATCCAAGAGATCTGCGGGTAATGATGTCCCGGCATACACGGATCGACATGATGGGTCCAGCAGGAGAGAACTTTTGATAAAGCATTGCCTCTGTAACATCAGGGTGCAGGTCCCCAACATACAAAGAGGCAAGAGGATACGTTGGTCCGCTGCTGTTCATGTTGCGTAACTGCTGGATCAAAAAAAAAGAAAAAAGAAAAAAAAGGTTATGGATATTTGGTTGCATTGTTTGTTTTCTTTAAGCAAACTACTACCAAGTGTTTCACTGCAAATTCAGCGTTTAATAACCTAGCCCCAAACATGGTTACACTTTCACACTTTTTCTTAAATGCTTGTCCAAACATTTGGCAGGCTTTTATAGCAACAGAAAACACTTCACAAGTTACCAAAGCTGGAAGCTTCTTATTCCACTAAAAGACAAATCTAAATGCAGAACAGCTAAAATTTCACATTTCTATGATTACATATCCCATAGCATACCTCATCTAAAACATGTGTTTGCATTAAATTGTATAAGGAACAAAGAGAACCAATTGGGAAACTAAAATTATAACATCAAAAATAAGATATTCCCACCCAAACGTGTATAAAGGAAGATCTGAACAAGTGATTCTCATTTTAAAGATACCTATGATATATTTCATGTGTTAATTTCTGTCAATTTATTAAATTTTTTTTTAGATATGGTAGCTACTAGCTTGAGGGTTCTTGGGAGTTTGCCTAACCAGTTTTGGTAATAAATATTTGATTATTTTCTGAAAGTTATGTACCTATTTTAATCTTTATCATTTAATGGAGGAAGAAAAAGCTAAATCGGCTCAACGAAAAATATTGGCAACAGACTGAAGTTAAAATAATCGCCATCAGTCTTAATTAACCTGTATCAGTCAATCTCTAGTGAGAAGCTCGGAGTAGAATCGCTTCTCCACATCGAGAGGAGTTAGCTGAGGTGGCTCAAACACCGGATGACCCCTGAAACGCCTCCCTCAGGAGGGGTTTCTGGCACGTTCCACCAGGAGGAGGCCAAGGGGACCATGGGGAAATTGTGTCTTTTGGTTGCTGCTGGTACACCCCATTCTTCTCTTAAGGAGCTGAGAAGACGTGTGAAGAAAGTCTGAGTGTCTCTACTGAGACTGCTGTCCCAAAGACATGATCCCAAATAAGCAGTGCACTATGGGAACGAACACAAGCTAAAACGCTATGTTAAGTTTGTCAAACTATTAGAATGATTGCAATTGTATGAGAAATTAATCTAAACTATTTTAATGCATTGAGGCATATCCTTCCTTATTTCTTTAGGCGCTCTGAATCCGGTGAACTCTTAACAGATTTCCAGAAAAACTGGCCGACTGAAGAAAGAATGTTTTGCGGGCTACATGGAAACAACTGATTGATTTGATTTTCTCTGTTTTAATACATAATTTCAATTTTGTATTGACTCTTAGCAAAGTTCCAGAGCTTCCTCTCAAGATGGACAACTTTTATTCTGCCTATGGATGCACAAATAAAAGGAGACTGCAGACCAGACCCAGTGGAATTACCTTTCATTATTAGGATTTTATGATAGATTATCCTCCTGTTTCAAAGTTACTTTTTTTGTGGTGCTGATAAAAAAAAAAAAAAAAAACAGCTTGAAAAAGAGTTTTGGGAGAAGTTTAGACAAACTTCTAAAGTACAAAAACCCTTTAGTTACATAGTTAGACACAACATAAATTTACCATTCATCAAGATTTGACAAAACAGTCTAAACAGTCAAATACAAAAAAAAAGACTTATTAATTGAAATGAATACGAAATAATAACTTTACTCTTTTGTAAATCACATTACTACTATGTTTCCCCTATCGATAATATTCGTTATTCTTAAAAATACTATGTATATAAAAAAATGATATAATGTTAGAATATATTAATATAAATCTGTATCATATTGATATTTAATAGCAAAATATATAACTTTGTATACATTTCATCCAGTTTAAGTTCAGTTAAAACAGTTTTTAATCTGAATAAATGTGGAACTGAAATATTTTTTTAAATGTGTTTTGTTCTTTTAAGTGGTTGTAACTTATAAGAGATTATTGTAGTATTATCTTTTACTAGTCTTTCACGTGATTAAAATTAGATCGAAGCCGCCTAAGGCGCCTCCTATTCATTCTGACAGCAGCAGTCTGATCTGTGGTCTGACCCAAGATGGCCGCCCCCTGGGCACATCGGCCTCACTGCCGACAGCGTCCAATGAGGCGTCTGTATATATATATGTCTATCGGCACAACATGCAGGTCACAATACCCGAAACAGCATGGTGCAGATGCCTTCTAGAAATTTGCAGATTTATGGGAATCTCTTTATAAATACAAAATGTTAAGATGGTTTCAGTCACATCTTCCACCACCTGCCTTGATGCATCAATGCAGTAATTCATGCAAGCCCAGCAATGTATATTTTCTAACTTTCCTTTCTGTAGCATCGTGTCTATTAATCAAAAATTTCACCCAGCCATATATATACACATTTACTTGTTAAACAGAGTGGGGGTGTTCTCTTATATATTCTAATTCAAGTTCAGTTTAAACAAGGCACTTTTTCCCACCAACGGAGATGTAACCGCTCAGTAAGTATTTCAACATATAAGTTGTTCCTAAAACAGCTAAACGCAACTACTCGATATGATCTGTTGGATAGAACATTTGTCAAATAAATAAAATTTCAAATTTAAGTGGGAAAAATGATGTGCCGACGCACCTAAATGTAGAAGCAGAGAGCTAAAACAGTTGCTACCTAAATTAGCTTACTCCGCCGGCGCGGGAACAGCTAGCGAAACAAATTTCTCTTCAATCACTAAATTATTTTAATACAGCTTGAATCCACTTACATTTAATACGGGGCTGTGAGTTTTTTCAGCGCTGCAGCCTGTGAGCCCTTTCCATGTGAACCTCAGCTTGTTTTAATGATAATCGCCAAACACCTGCACGCTTCGTCCGCACGTACATGAGTCGAGGTGCGATAGGTCAGGAGGAGGTCACACTCCGCGATAAAAAGTAGTCCTTTTAGCTCAGCTTTGGATGGAACCAAAGGGAACCCCTCCATAATTATTAACCAACGTTTTATAATAAAACACTGAACAGAACGTTATTGTGAACAGAAATGAAGACGTAATTTGCCTCTTATCTTAAACAAAACTTTATTTCACTGAATGGTCTTTGACACTTTCCTATTTCTTACATGTATAGTGAAACTAGAATGGTTTTAAGATACATAAACACAAAGCTAGAATTACACCAACCATTGTTTATCTCCATTTCATCACTGCTTTTTTTTTTAATAGCTATTCTAAATTTTCACAACCACGTGTGTACACTGGGTAATAGACTGTTACAGAAGCAAATTTTAGCCATAAGACTTGTCAGTAAAAACAAAGCAAGTAAATACCTGATATACAGACAGGCTTCGTTCCACATTCACTAACTGCATTTTCATCAAGCAAAAATAATGAACTGACATTTTTTTTTATTTTTTCCCCAACAAAAGATTTCAATTTATTGGAGCATTGTCAGAGTAAACAGACCGCCAGCTATAACGTGGAATGGTGTCTTCAACTACAGTAATGTGGAATGTAGTGGTGATATCATGGTATTGTGACACTGAGCTTCTTTTCACCTTCTAAAACCTGATTCTTTTTTTTAAAGAGGCAATCATTCCCACCAGCCATCTTTTAACAGCTGAGAGATTCACCTTGGTAAAAACTGAGGTCAGGGTTTATTTTTGTTGTCCAACTCGTTCTATGAGATTTCAAACAAGCAGATGCTGCTATCTTGAAAGAAGAAAAAAAAAATGCAGGAGGCTGCAAGAGAAAGCCAGGCACAAAAGCTTTTTTTGGGAGAAAACAACCGCTTTAAGAGGAATATTTTGCAAGCAGGGTTGATACAGTGTGGCAAGACATTTTCAATTAACATCAATAAAAGGTTACTTTAGGTTTTACATACAGATGATAGTCAATCTTGCAAAATACATGGAACCACATTTACGCATACAATTTTCATTGTACTGAGATCAAGCAGCACCAGAACAGTGAAAAAACTACAATGACAATCTATACTTAGTTCAAAAAAAAAAAAAAAAAAAAGGAGCACTGCTGTTTTCAAAAAAGCCTAATAATGTGGAATGTCTCATGTCCAAACAAATCTATCATGACAATTTAAGGGGTCCCTTACAACTTGAAAACTGAATTTGTGAACATGATCAAGGAAAATTACACCAAGATGTCAGTGTCACAATACAGCCTGCCTCCTTTCTGTATGAATCCACAGCAGAATTGCAGTTAACTGATTACAGGATCTTATGTGTCTGGAAATGCAAACACACATGTAAGAAAAAAAGAAAAAAAAACTGTTTTTGGGGGTTGTGAAGCAAATGGAAAGCCTACCATCACAGTGTTTGGTGGAAATCAACTGCCAGTTTAATTACCATACATTAAAACCTGTAAATATCATGAAGAATCACAAATAAGTAACCCCAAAAAAAAGGGATGAAAAATGCACACCAAACTAGCTGGGACAAAGGAAGTTGGAAGGACGATTCAAATTCACAACACCCCCCTCCCCCTGGAATCGCACGCGCAATCGCTTCACAGTCACTCACACTTTCACGCTCACTACATACAGACCTACACACGAAGCTGACAAAAACAACAGCAACATGGACTCACTAATCAATACGACATGTCTCCACAAAGTGACTGAATCTGCTAACAACTGAAAAATTACCCTGTCACCTCACAGTGAACTGAGAGGGGTAAACTAGTTGGTCGGGAGCAATTCAGGCTGCTTGTCATACAGAAGTGGGAGGGGCTGATGGAGTGGAGCGGGGGAGGGAGGATGTATATAAGCTGTCTGTGTTTAAGATAAGAGTGTAGGTGGATTAACAGTGCAATTCCATCAGTTTTCCCCATCTCCGGTCTCGCCCTCATCTGCCTGGTTTTCTGATGTCCACAGCTGGAGAAAAAAAGAAAATAAAAAAATAAATTATATGGTTTGTTGAAAGCTATCAGGGACCACAGGATAATCCAACTGAGGAACTCACAGTCAGGTTGTCCCTTAGTAGTTGCATGATCAGGGTGCTGTCTTTGTAAGAGTCCTCGTTCAAAGTGTCGAGTTCAGCAATTGCTTCATCAAATGCCTGAAGAGGAAAAAAAACATTCAAGCAATCACAATGTTGATACAATCCCAAGAATAATCACTAAATATAATTCCTTATTTGTGTAATACATCTAATGAGCTTAAAGTTGATTGCCGGTCAGTGTGCACACCTGTTATAGTGGGGGAAAAAAGGTGAATTTTCTTACCGTTTTAGCCAGGCTACAGGCCTTGTCCGGGTTGTTGAGGATTTCGTAATAGAAGACTGAGAAGTTGAGGGCCAGGCCGAGCCTAATGGGGTGTGTTGGCTGCATCTCCCCCTTGCTAATGTCAAAAGCTTGTTGGTACGCCTGCTGAGAGTTCTCCACTGTATCTGTATTGGTGGAAAATGACAAAATTATTCAAAAAGGTTAGCTTTAAAAAAAAGGATGCATTACTATAATGCTTACATAAAAATGCCTCAAAAAGCCAGCAGGTGGGACACTAAGTTAAAAGATGTTTTTTTTTTGTCTATTCCATTTGTTATAACGTCAAAAATAATTTCAGCGAGTCGCTGCAAGCCTTGTAATTAACACTCATGGGCTTTTAAGCAAGTACTTTCCAGTTCTTGTCATAAAAGGCACAGTTTGGGTAAAATAGGCTTTTACACATCACAATTTTTATATTTGTCATTTTAATCATCCTTCCAATTTTGTGGTAAAATAAATGTTAACATATTGGTATCCATAGGAATATTAATCCAATTACCCTTCTTAGTTTCCCCAGACGCAACCTCAGAAAGGTATCTATAATAGTCGCCCTTCATCTTCAGATAGAACACCTTACTCTCAGCAGCAGATGCATTGGCAATGAGAAAGTTGTCCAGTAGCCCCTAAAAGAAAAGTCAACATACGAGATCACCAGTTTAGTATCACCTCCTCAAAAACATCACAATGCATTGATCTCACAAGTGTAAACCCTTACAAGCACATCATGGCAGATTTCCTGCAGTTCGGCTTCTATTTTCTCCCGGTATTCACGTGCCATCTGCTGTTTTTTGTCATTGCCCTCAGTCTTCTGCTCGATGCTGGAAATGACACGCCAGGATGAGCGACGTGCACCAACCACATTCTTGTAGGCCACAGAGAGAAGGTTGCGCTCCTCATTCGACAGCTCTGCGCCTTGCTCTGTCACCGACTTCATGGCTGCAGCCATGTCATCGTAGCGCTCAGCCTGCTCAGCAAGCTTGGCCTTCTGTACCAGGTCGTTCTTATCCATTTTCTAGACTGTTGAATAAAAAAGGAAAAGAGGTGGTAAGTTTTACAGATTGACATGTGAACAATGCAAATGCTTATCCATATAGTGAGCTCAGTTTCCTATTGAACAACTCAAACTTTGCTGTAAAAAACGATCATATTGCATCACATCTTTGAAACCACATGGTTTATAAGAACTTGGCTGGAAGTTTGAACTGGGCCCTTAGGCAAGTGGGTCAGGCAGACCCATCACTAGCCAAGTTTTAGCTGCTAGCGCTCTTCAATCTAGACTCTTCTCCCTAACCTGCTTTATGCTCCATGGTCAGAAAGCGCAGGTGTAATATCCTTAAGTTCAAAACTTATGTGCTGGATCAATAAACTTTGATTAATCACCCAGTTCAAAAAAAAAAAATAACCAACTAAAGGCTTCCCGGGTCAGCCTTTAATGCCCTCCCTTGAGGTTGCTAGCAGCGCTACTAGGCTGTGGTGTTAATCGACCAATTTCTTGTCGCTAAATCGTTAAATACCCGGGAATATAATCAAAATCTACATTTAATAACAACTGAGGGTGTGTCCAAAGTTGACCACAGAACGCGCCCGGCGCTAATCTATCGTGATAATGCAAAGCGAACGGAGAAGCTATCGGTTTAGGCTAGCTAACGTCGGCCGACTGCCGCTGTCTGTCGCTAGGCCAGCCGAGAAAATTTCAACTGCCACGTTCAATTATTTACCCGTGAACGGGACAGCAATGATTCCTGGTGTGGGGGATTATTTAACCTGACGATAGCAATATGCGGCGTTTCGTTGAGCTGCGTGCTTTTATTTTTGGCGTATTTTCCCACAGCTGTATCGAGGCCCGCCCAGGCTGCAGAGCCTGTCAGAACAAAGTGTCATGGAATCCGAGCGTCGGTTAGCAGCTAGCCTAGCCTCTCGGTTATGATGGCTTCAGCAGCACACGGTGAAAAACAGCTCTTCTCCCGCCGAATTACCAATGAAAAGCTAGCGTTATCGTTCGATTTTCACACACGCGAAGCTTTAACACTTACAAAATTGGTGACTTTTAATCCTGCTTTTTTAGGGGGGGTCGGGTTTTTTTCTCTCTCTGGACGATTGAGCCTCCGTCCTCCGTCTCGCTCAGCGTTCAGGGCAGTACCACTTCCGCTACACTGGCACTTCTGTTTCCTCCTTTCTCACCGCACATCTGCCTTACGTAATGCACGCGCTGCTTTTCTACCCACCATAAGAGATCATTTACAAAGCCGAAGTTCACCCTTTTACTTTCCTAGATAACAACTAATTTGCCCTTATTGCGTTCTCTAGGCATGTTAAAGGTTAAAGAGACTCACTTTAAAATCTCTCATAATATTTACCCAGTGACAGAATTTTTGCACATTAAAATTTTATTTAACATGATGTGCCTTTTGTTTTACTGTCCTTTTTTCTTTTAAACTATGGAGAAACATAAAAAATTGGTTGTCCCTTAAATTTGAGGACATCCAAGAAATACCCATGTGTTATGGTTAATATTGTTTTCTTGCTTGTTAAATATAATTTACATTGCTATAAAGGGGGAGATTTTACTCCTTGTATTTTTTATACTTCTTACAATACATCACTACATGTTCTACTGTTTCATATTGTCCACCAAATTCACATTTGACTGATAT